CCTTTTTCAGAGTTCCTAGGTAGAATTAAGCGGTATCACTGCGACAGCCATACTCGGCTCTTCGTCTTCTTTCATACTATAGCAAACTCTAGAAAACGGAAATTTCTGCGTACGCTGCCTTTAAATTGTTTTTTCCCGAACTTTTCGACTATTACGAAGTTCTTCAATTGGAACGAAAAGAATGCTAGCGTTCTGGTCATTCTCTTCCCCAATTTTGAGGATTTGGTATGGAGCGAAAGAAGACGACGCCCACAGAACAACTATCACAGGCTGATTGCTCAATTCTGCCTATGAGCGCTACAAAAAAAACATTTTATACAGCAAAAACACACAAAGTGCGCTAGGGGAGACCTCATTTTACAGCGCTGCTATGCAGAATTGAGCAGTACTGTTGCTATAGCTGCACTAAAGAGTTTTTGCGGCACTATTCCAGCTTCGCGGACCCAAAAATCGAAAATCTCAGATTTCGCTGAAACTTCTCCCAGAGGGGTTATTTGGGCCGCTGATCACGAAAATCATATTCATTTTCTACTGCAACCCCATTTTTATAGGATTACGATAAGTGTGCGGTAGCAGGCCAAAATCATAGAATCGCCTCAAAACTTGTGTAGTGGGGTTATTTGGGACGCTGAGTAAAAATATCGTATCTTTTTCGCACGGTGACGCCTTACTGTCGAGTTACGCAGGATTGCGGTGCCTGGGTAGCGTAATTCTACAGTATGACGTCACGGTAAGACGCTGATGCGGTATTTGCAGTCAGCGTTTCAAATAACCCTTCCCTAGCAAATTTGAAGAGATTCCGAGGCCACCACCCAAGCATCGCAGTCCTATCATAGCTCGACAGTAAGGCGTTGACGTGCAAAAGGGATACGATATTTTTACTCAGCGTCCCATTACACAAGTTTTGAAGCGATTCTGAGCTTTTGGCCGGCTACCATACACCTATCGTAACTCTGCAAAAATGGATCTACGGTACAAAATGAGTGCGATTTTCGTGATCAGCGACTCAAATAACCCCTCTAGGTGAAGTTCCAGCGAAATCTGAAATTTTCGATTTTTGGGCTAGCAAAAGTGGAATAGTGACCTCTGATAGTGTAGCCATTTGCCACAGTGCATCTTCGCACTTCTTTGGGAAAAAATTCAGTGTTCGAATAACAACCAGTACCATATACAGATTTATTTAAACCACAGCATCAACATCATGTACAAAATTAGTCGTTTGGGTATGGCACCTAGGCATGCAAGCTACGGAATCATACTGACTAAGATATGGAAAGTTGACTAAAGCACTTAAAGCTATATTGTCGAAATTAGAAGTGAAAGGAGAATGAAAATGATGGGCGGTTGGAGGTTACAAGTCACTGAGTTTCAAGGGGAATGAGGGTTGTGCACGGGGAAATTTCCTAAGAAATGCTTGCTATGCAGAAGCGCACACCTAGTTGTCTTTGACTATTCCAAGTAATAGAAGAAATGCTTCTGTCTCCCTAAGTATTCTGCGGACAAAGACATCTCGGCGGACACGTTGGACGCTTGCACGGCCGCGGTAGAAGATACCTGGCGGTTGATGGATTGCCGGCTCCGCCTGATTTCTGTGTCGGCAGACTGCTTGAGGGACGTATACATAGAGCGTCGATGGTCACCGGACTTAGAGCATGAGAGAGAGCCCTGAGCAACAGCAGCAAAGAAGAAGTACGGAACAGAACAGGAGAAAAAGTACAGCGTGGCCCACTTGTCCATCGACTAGGATCGTAGGCGCCTAGCAAAGTATCCGTGGAGAGCTCCCGGTGAGCTGTTCGGCCGTTCGGAAGGCAGATAACGAAGACCTGGTTGTTCTCCGAGACTGTGTCCTCCTTCGGTCTATAACATGTATTCGATGGTCATTTACGCCATCGTCCATTGTGTAGCCTACACAGGCAACAATAACATACTGAACATCTCATCTGCAAAACAACTACGCCTACCGGGTGTCGAACCCCGATCGCACGCGCGAGAATCAGACGCCATCGCACTGCTCCAATGCGACCGGACGTACCTATCGTTTTAACCCCATGACTGCATGTCATGATAGCAGTTCAAAAGATAACAAGTGAAAAAAATGTGGGGACGCCACCCCTCGTTCCACGCACATCCGCTCCCTCCGACGGTACGTCCTAAATATGGTTCAATCAGTTCTAGTATTCAGGAACCTCAGTACTGTGGCTTACCTTTGTGAGTGGGAGGGGACGTTACGAACCGCTTCGATGGGCGCGATCGCAGCAGTGAACCCCAAACACTGCGATTTAACTTTGCCACTCAGCCAGGACTCGAACCGGCGATTGTTGGACTGGTAGTCCGACACTTTACCGACTGAACCATACAGCACACCTTTTGCACACGAGTAGCCGCATTAGGTGGCGACGCAAACATCGCAAAGAGCGAAGCAACCACCGATTTAAGAAATATGTTCGCTCCAGTTGAGTAAGCATGGAATTACTCTTGTCATTTCGCTATCATATGTCGCATAAGTGGTCTTGCATTTACGTCTAGTCCATCCAGTGTGGAAGAGATCAGAGGTCTCAGTGGCGCAGTGCGATGGCGTCTGAGTGTCGCGCGTGCGACCGGGGTTCGACCCCAGGTGGGGGCATTCCTTTTGCAAATGAGATGTTTAGTATGTTCTTGTTGTCTGTGTAGCCAACACAGTGCAAGATGACGTAAATGGCCATTGAACCCATGAAAAATAGCGTACCAAACATTGCGGATTTAACTTTGCCACTCAGCCAGGACTTGAACCGGCGACTGCTGGACTGATAGTCCGACACTCTACCGACTGAACCATACAGCACAACTTTTGCGCACGAGTAGCCTCACTAAGTGGCGACGCAGACATCGCAAAGAGCGAAGCGCATCCGCATCGGACTACTTATAGGTACAAGTTTCGCCCACGCAAAAGGGCTGCCATTATTAATGAGTACAGGACATGTTTGAAGATATGGGACGTTTTATAGCAACCAGTAGCAAGCCGCTCAATCAGTGGTCTCACTGGTGTAGTGCGATTGCGTCTGACTGTCACCCGTGCGATCGGGGTTCGACCACCGGTCGGTGCTGATCTTTTGCAAAGCAGATTCTGAGTGGAAGAGGGCACTGTTGCTGGCCAGTGCGGTACAATTCACAAAGCCAAGCTTACCTTAGTTGACTTTTTGATTGCAGTACCTCTCTACTATTACAATTTTTGCTTTTATATCCTGCTTTCATTGTTTCAGTTTCATATTCATAGTTTTTCCTACAACGATTAAATGCTGTATTCCTTATTGTTGTTTAAATGGCACGCCTTGGTGCGTAGATAATAAAAAAAAATAAAAATAAATCACAGGTCTCAGTGATGTAGTACGAATATTTAAATTATTTTCCGATTACATTAGTGTAGCACCGACTCCAACAAGCGAATGAGATTTTTCTCAGCAGCAGACGCTGCTAAAACTTACGGAAATTCCAGAAATGCCGAGAAAATCCCGCCTTTCTCACGCGGCAAGACTGACGAAAGAGGCGCTGCCGCGCAAGACGGTTAAAACTTTTCTTCTTGTCTAAGTTTTAGCTCGAACCTAGGTTTTCGCGCATTTCCTTCTTTACGATTGTACGTCCGTTACAGTTGCTTTTTCTACTTTCGCAGAATTTATTGCTGTATCAGAAAATAAGCTACTCAAAGGTTCACATGTTGCGCCTAATGGGCAAAGCTTTCCAAAGTAGGTTACGCACAACCAAGCAGTTCCGATGACGAGTTGCTCCTCTCGTCCAATAAGGACGCAGGTGATGTCTTCCCTCAGTGCGAGGATATAAGAGAACTTAATTCTCCGTACGAACACTCACTGAGGCAAACAGCTTTCTTAGAACTGCTATATGATTGCTTTTTTAAAATTATAACCTAGTTGTGAATTTGACATTCGAATGACGGAGTTTCTGTCCTTCAGCTTCTGGAAAAACTTGCTGTAATGGAGGTGCTTGTATACATTCTGTCAAGGATATCTCATAGTTCAGTGAACAGTTCCGTGAAGGGCCTTAGTATTTCTTAGCCTAGGGCTAAGTGGCTACTTTGCTTAGATCTGTATTGGACCTCTTCAAACATTAAAGGCAGCACCCACTCTAAAAAGGGATTTCGGGATTCAAGTAGTTTATGAACTCTTGGTGGCTGAATAGCCAAAAGCCAAAGTGAGAGTACCGGTAAGCTGCTTGTTTCGGAGAAAACGGCCGAAACGTCGAGCACTCGGTGGACTAGTTACGCAGGATGTGGGGACGAGTTGTCTTGTCAGTGTGTTTCGCGCGCTAGTTAATGCGCTATAACCATTGGGTATGAATGCACTTGTACGAGCTTTCATTGTGGCGGTGGGCGACTCCAGTGGAAGGCGCGCGACATAGTGCAAAACTCGTCCTGAAATCGTGTACGAGTCTTCTGGAGCGATTTTCTCAGTCAGAAATGATTTCTGAGCAGAGAAGTTTGAAATTCAACCATTTTCTGAGCTTCTCTTTCAGAATCCATCGAGAACTCAGGAAGCGTTCTGAGAGTGGGT